TTCCCCCCCCCCCCCCCACCGAAAGTGCTAAGCGCCACCAAACAGTTGTAGGCAGAGGAGCGGGGACACGGCGCACTGGGGAGGGAGGGGAGAGGAGGCAGGGAGTGAGGGGAGCTTGGCGGCCACAGGAAATAATTCTGGGGGCTGCGTGTTTGAGACCCCTGCACTGAACCTAACCTTTTTTTTTTTTTAAATGTGCTGGTTACACCAAAGGGGGCAAAACCTAATCAAACATGTTTTTTATTTAAAACTGATCTTAATAAACAGAGGAGATACTATCTGTAGTTAGAGAATTGAACTGATTATTTCTGGTTATTATGTCCTTCAAGATTTTTTAGAACTAGTAGATCTCATCAGCTCACACCATGGTTGTTTTTTTTTTTTTTCTTGGACATAAGAAGAGAAACTTTCCTGCTTTTTCTTACTCCAATTTGATTTTCTTAATTTTGAATGCACTAGTCATTGAACTGAATTAGTTGAATAAACTAAAATGAAGAAAATATTCTTTTGGACCTGCAAAACAGGCTACTGCTGTTGTTATTATTAATAATAATTAATAATAATGTTTAAGCTGGTTTAGAACTTCAACAAACTCTGAGTCCTGGTGCTTATCCAGTGACTTCTATTGGTTCAGTGATTTGCCTTTTTAAAAAACTTCAGCAGCACACATGTATAGTGTAGTATTAAATTTAATGTAACTGATCATCATAGTGAGTTTAGGCCTTAACATAAATTGTCATAATTTCATATTTAATTTATTTAGGTTTATTTTAAAAAGGGAAATGTGTGCAATTGTCAATGGTAAGAGAAGTGGTCTGTGAAACTCACTCAGTGTCAAGATGTGGTTCACGCTAAAGTATTTGAGAACCCCTCTTCCAGTGTCATGTGCACAAATTGATCCATGTTCTGTAATAACTTGGATGCTGCCAGTTTAGTCAGATTCTGAAGGCTGTCAGCACTTGGATATGTGAGGTTTTTGGTTTGTGTGTTTTTATCATTCCGGTTTCACATCTAGACATGTTTAATTGTTGTCACTTACTAAAAACAAATTTTCTCTTCTCTCTTCCCCCGTCCCCTTCCCCCCCCCCCTTAGGCGCTGGACTTCAGTTTGAAACACAAAGATCACTTCTGTCAAGCTGGAATGTTAGTTTCAGTTTCTCGAGACTTCAGAATCGGAAAGCCAAAGGGAACAGTATAAATCCAGGCAAACCTTTGGTGCCCATTTATATACAAGATCTGCTGAGGCCATTTTTCAGGGAGCAATCTTTTCTGTTGTTTCTTCGGTATCCAGTGTGACTGAGTTGATCACCATGAATGTGACAAGCTTATTCTCCTTCACAAGCCCAGCAGTTAAGAGGCTGCTGGGATGGAAGCAAGGGGATGAAGAAGAAAAATGGGCAGAGAAAGCTGTTGATGCATTAGTTAAAAAACTAAAGAAGAAAAAAGGTGCTATGGAGGAACTGGAAAAAGCATTAAGCTGTCCAGGTCAGCCCAGCAACTGTGTTACAATTCCCCGTTCCCTGGATGGCAGGCTTCAAGTTTCGCACCGGAAAGGGCTACCACATGTGATTTACTGTAGAGTGTGGCGCTGGCCAGACCTCCAGAGCCATCATGAACTGAAACCACTGGAATGCTGTGAGTTTCCCTTCGGTTCAAAACAGAAGGAGGTTTGCATCAATCCCTACCACTACAAACGGGTGGAGAGTCCTGGTAAGTTTTCTCTCTCTCTCAATTCTTATCTAGATAGTAACATACAAGTCTAGTAATTAAAGTGATCAGATGGCTGGTATCCTATTAAACTTAAGCAAATATGAATGTCATGTCTCAGACTATTCATAATTTCAAAGAGAAGTGATAATACAGTAGCTTGCTCTTTCACATGCTGGGGGCTATAAATATGTGTAAACGTGTTCTATGGCTATACGGAAGGGTGGTCTGAACACAGGACTGGGAGTCAGGAGGTCTATCTTCTCCTAGCTTGGCCACTGAGTTTAATATTAGGTAAGTCATTCACCCTCTCCATACGTGTTTTATACAGGCTTGCAGATTAATGAATCCTAAAGTGCTCTGAAGGTCAACATTAGTCAGGTAACTCTTTTTTTTGCAAATGTGGCTCGATGTGCAGACTTGTAATTCTCACAAAAAAATAAAAATATAGGCAACCATTTGGCCAAGTCAGAATTTTCATTCTCAAAGAGGTCCTTTCATCTTTATATCCTTGAGGTTCAGAAGGAGGACAACCAATTGGGAGGATGGTATGTGGCTGTTACTAGGTGGTTCCACAAAGGAATAATTATATTTATTAGTGGAATAGCACATTAGAGCAGCAAAGTGTCTTTCTGTGGAATGTAGCGCTGTGGGAAAATGTGGCATATACGTGTACAAACTTCATAGCAGTGATTTGGACCTTCCAGATCAGAGTTGAACTCTAGCTACTGGCACAATCTTTACTATAGTTCTGTAGTTGCATTTCTGTATTCTTTCTAGAAAGGTTCACAATTTGGCTTATAATACTTTAGTGACCAATAGTTTTTTTTTTTCTAAATACACATACATAATTTTAAAATCCATTTCATGCACTTTACAGATGTGTTGGTTTCCCCCCCTTTTTCCACTCTTAAAATGTAAAATCCTTGTTTGGCACCACCTCCTTCTGTTCTTGCCTTTTTAAGGCACTAATCCTGCAAACACTTTTTAAGCACAGGCTTTATTTGCTTGTGTGAGTAGTCAAATTCAGTTCACTGGAAGTATTCACATGAATTAAGTTAAGCATATGCTTAAGTATTTGGGACTTGTCTACACAGGAGGCTTTAGTCACCACTGGTGTAGCTGTACAGATGTAGTTGCACCAGTGACAATCCCTAGTGTGGCGGTCCGTCTCGGAGGGAGGGACCTGCTGCTGAAGTCCCGCCAAAGAAGAAAGCGGCGCCCCTCCCTCCCCACCACCGCTTGGGATGGCAAAAACCCTGGAGCCGTCCCTGGTGGCTGCAATGAACTAGTAGTTCGTCATGGCTTATATTTGTGCAGTGCATCTATACTAGGGATTTGTACCAGCAATTATATCTGCATAGCTACATAGGTAGCTAAAAACTACAGTGTAGATAAGACCTTATATTTCAAGGTGGTTGTTTTTTGCAGCTCTGTTTTGTAATGTGCAATGCATATTTATGGTGCTATATACTATTTCCTTTCAGCATTTAAGTATGTATTTGGAAACAATCCAGACAACTAAACTAATACCACAACATGCACATTTTATGCAGCAGAAGCTTAAAGAATGGTCCTATGTGAGAAACCTAGTTATAAACTCTTAGTTTTCTGCTCTTTAGACGTGAGATATTAAAATGAGCAGTTGTCCCCGACTATGTCCTTTATGCATAGACTGTTGGATCAGATGTGTTCTGTATCCCAATGTACTGAAGGCTTGGATGCCTTTATATTTAAAAAAAAAAAAAATCTTAAGTCATTGAGCAGCAATAGGACTTCTGCTATTAGAACATGTTTCTTAACATTATGCTAACTCTTCTTGATTTAATGTTGGCAACAGCTTACTGGTTTGGTGTTTGAGAATGTTCTCATCTGGTTGCAGAGTATTTTTTTAAAAAAGAAACTACAAAAATGTCATGATGCTGCAGCAAGATAGGCAAATAAAATATACAATAAACCCTCCAATGTAACATCTAAAATATGTCATCAAGGTTGTATCTGGTAGCTTACAAACCATCCATTTACTTATCTTCCTGGATTTAGTGTCATTGTCACTTTTATTCAGTTTTGTTATTTTAAATAGTGTCTTAAGGAAATAAAGCTAAGATTGTACATTTTGACTCCTGGACACTCATTTAAAGAAATGTTATCCAGATACAGTTAAATATTTGAATGCAAAGATTTTAGTTGAGCAGTAAAAAAAAAAAGCCCCACTTTACTTCCTCTAGTTCTCATCTTAAGGAAAAACTACACTCTCTTGGTGAATCACCTTATAGGCTCCAGTTTCTTAGGACATTTTCCCAGCTAAAGGGAGGACAGAACATATTCAAATACTTAGGAGGCCATGGAAATGTTCAAAAGCTCACACAAGCCTTGTGCAGTCCTCTCAATCAAAATATTCTGGAAATAACTGCTGAACAGAATGCAGTTTGAACTTGAACTTGTGCTTAAATGTTTTGCTGAATCAGGGCTTTAGGGCCTGATCTAAAGGCCACTGAAGAGAACTAGGGCAGTGGTTCTCAACCAAGGGTATACGTACCCCAGGGGGTATGCAGAGGTCTTCCAGGAGGTACATCAACTCATCTAGATATTTTGCCTAGTTTTACAACAGGCTACATAAAAAGCACTAGCAAAGTCAGTACAAACTAAAATTTCATACAAACAATGACTTGTTTATACTGTTCTGTATACTATACACTGAAAATGTAAGTACAATATTTATATTCCAATCTATTTATTTTATAATTATATGGTAAAAATGAGAAAGTTAAGCAATTTTTCAGTAATAGTTTGCTGACACTTTTTTGTATTTTTAATGTCTGATTTTTGTAAGCAAGTAGTCTTTAAGTGAGGTGATACTTGCGTGTACACAAGACAAATCAGACTCCCGAAAAGGGTACACTACTCTGGAAAGGTTGAGAGCCATTGAATTAGCGTATGTCTACATAGCAATTACACACCCATGGCTGGCCTGGGTCAGCTGACTTTTTGGTTTGCGGGGCTCGGGCTGTAAAATTGCAGGGTGGATGTTTGGGCTCGGGCTGAGGTCTGACCCCAAACATCTACCCTGCAATTTTACAGGCCTGCAGCCTGAGCCCCGCAAGCCCGAGTCAGCTGACTTGGGCCGCTGCGGCTGTTTAATCATTGTGTAGACATATCCTTAGTCTTTCTATTGACTTTGGTGGAATTTGGATCAGGGCCTTCTTCTCCCTGAACCTCAGTTTCCCATCTGTAAAATGGGGAGATGTCCCTTCCACGCTTCACCTGTTATAAAAGGAAATATAAAATTATGATGGACGCAAGGAAACTAAACGTTTTATTGTCATTGTTAGTAGTAGTATTACAGTAGCACCGAGGACTCCTAAGCATGGACCAAGACCCCTTTGAGCTCAACTCTGTACCAACACCCAGTAGAACAGAAAGATAGTCCCTGCCCCAAAGAGCTTACAATCCAAGTAAAAGACGAGACAACAGAGAGATGGGAGAGTACAAGGAAACAATGAGACAATATTGTCTAAACATTCAAGACAGCCATGCGGTGGTGGAAGGTGTAAAACACACTAGCTGAGTGAGCAATATGATGATGATAAATGGCGTGTTAGTTCCATTGTTTTGGGGGGTGGAATACTTAGGAGGGGATCAGTTAAATGGAAAGCCAAGGGAAGTAGGAGTGAGGGGAGCAGTGCAGGGAGGAGAGGGTAAGGACAGACAGGAATGGAGTTAAGCAGAGGTGAAGAGAATGGGAATGGGAGTGGGAGATCTGGCAGTTTATAATTAAAATAGAGCACTGTTCTGAGACCTGTGCAATGTCTAGACATGATAGTTTAAAAATTCTAGCACGGGGGTGTCAGGAGGAGGAGGGATGGATTTCATGTTTTATTATAGGCGGTGGGCTGGGATATAAACTCAGGACTTTGTACTCTCCTCAGTGCACAGTTAATGTCCCACTGATGTTTGTGGGATGTTTGCAGAGAGATCTAAGGGAGAATACAGCTTTTCTGTATCAACTGAAGTTGTATTTATTATTCAGTATCTTATTGGCCCATTCAGTACCCTGAGTGGTTGGTTGTGTTTTGGTTTTGGTCTCCTCCTTGGTTTCTCTGTTTCTGTCCTCTTCTGTCTGTCAGGTTTCCTCAGTTGTTTCCTCTTCATTTTCTGCCCTGTAACTATCTTCAGTTCCTACCCCCTTTAAGGTTTTCACTCTCATTTTCCCTGTTTCATCTTCTAACATTCTCAGGAATTAATAGTTGGTGGTGGTGATGATGAAATGTAAGTGGGACCAAAATTTCACTACCTCATGTGAGCTGATTTGGCCCATGGGTCATATGTTTGACACCCTTCCTCTAAAATAACGGTGGAGGCTTTTACTCATATGGACAAGGTGCAAAGTAGGGGGAATTGTATACTCTGTGTGTGTGTGTGTGTGTATGTATATATAAATGTATGTATGTATATGTGTGTGTGTATATAGTTACATTTTTCCATTTCAATATCCTATTTGGGGTTTTTTGAAAAGCTGGTTCATAATAAAATAAATCTACCCTTGATCTGTATAAAATCACACATCACTCTACACTGGGGAATGAAGGCCACAAATTTTTATGGACACTTCTGCTTTTTAAAACTTGTGGTGCTAAAGTGATATTCATCTCTTGTACACAAGATGAACATATAGATTTTAGAAAATACCTACAGATTTGAAAATCTCATTTCTAACCCCAGATGTCATTATTATTATTATTATTATTATTATTATTTTTTTACTTTTTAAAATTTAAAATATCACATTCAAATAAGGTTTGTTTTTTTTAAAAGCAACAAACAGGAGGCTGAAAATATAAGAGTTGGCTGTTATGAGACACTGGGGGAAGGGCAGGAGAGGAGGCTCCTGGGAATTTTAAGACTGGAGAATCTAGGCTTTGTTGAAAGCATGCTTCTTCGTAGACTGCTGGTATAAGGAAGAAAATGCTGAGGGAAGCTTGTCATCTGGCAAACCGCTATAA